TCCTCGTTATCCTCGCGCAACATGCATCGGATACATTATAAATATTAATTGTTACAGTAATCAGGGAATCCAAAAGAATAAAAATGACATAACTTTTCCTAGGATTTGTACAAGACATCATTTGATATTAAAAAAGCGTTCGACATCTTCTTTTTGTAGCAAATCAATCAGCCCATGAGTACAGAAGATTTTGAAAAATCCTTTTATGTTAATAGCGTCTAAGCTACAGGAAACAAGTCAATTAAATCACATGTATATTCAGATGTTCATATATGGTTGAGGAGTGTTATCAACTTGCATACGTTTTTCATCATTTCAGTATTCTTCTAATGAGGATTCCAAGAAAAATGCAAATAGTGTCTGATTTGTCTTTCTTGCGAATGAAGACGTTAATGAAACAAACGATCGATCATTTGCTTCACTGATTCATTACACTAACTTTTTAACTTTTTATTACAAATTAATTATTCTTTTTTTTTTAAATAAAACACTTTTGTGGTTGGAAATTAAACAGTAGTAGTGTTAATTGTCTGTCCTAGACACGGGTTGTTTCTGCAGCATTCATAAATTCTTTTTGTCTTTTTGGATATTTGATTATTCAAAAAGGAGGATTAATGAATGGAAACACTACTTGTAAAAGATTTTACTCTTGGAGGTAGAAATTATTTTTTTCATTAATTGATAACTTTTATTATATTCATTAAGTTAGAGCTAGCATTAGTAATTTCAGCTGCTGCTTTGATTTTGGTGATAAGAACTAAATCTAGATATTCATGACTTAATTTGTTCTTTGATTCATTAGGAAAATTAATGTCTTATATTCAATGTGGACACGCAAAAATATAAAATTTGGGAATGTATCAGTCATTCAATTTAAAAAAAATTAAAATCATTTTTAATATATTTAACTATATAGAAGAATGCTTTATGACAAGTGACTTTGTCACTCATGCAATTTTTTTTTATTAATTAAAAAAAAAAGAACTTTTTTTAAATAATAATTTTATTTTATTGCTATACTTGTAAAGGAATGGATGCCTTTCCTTCTAATCTTTTATATGGATTTGTCAGTAATAAAAGCATCCTTATCCAATGAAATTATTTGAACATTTTTACGTTATCAAATTCACGATTTTGATTGGTCGATCAACAATTGCGTAGGTCAGAACGGTCTCTCCTGTTATATGTAAATGATGTATTTTTATTATTATTATTATTATTATTATTATTATTATTATTATTATTATAATGCTATGAAACACTCAGCGCAGTGGTATTTTTATTTTTTGACCATCTTGTATAACGTTGTATAATGATAAATGATTTCATGGTTTGAATGTGCTCACCATCTGTAAACTTGATTGCTTGAAGATGGACAGGGACGTCGTAGAAAGTTGAGTTCCGTGCGCTGAAATGGCCTGAGAGGAATTTCTCTACGAAAAAAAAACGAAAAAAAAATGTGGGGACGGCCGTCCTATTAGACACGAAGCTCACTGTCACATTTTCGTTTAAAAACTTGTTATCTTTATTATTCGTTTTATTCATTTTATTCGTTTTGTCCGTTCTATTCGAATTACTCGTTTTATTCATTTTTATAAAATATTTCCTTAACAAAATAATATAAATTACAATAATTATATTTATAATTTATATTACTATTATGATGGTTGCTAGTATTATGACTCAAGTAAAGAAAAATGTCAGCTACTACTAATATTTATTATTATTATACAAGGACTAAGGAAAAATAGATTGATAATAAAAATTTTAATTGGATTGGTTTAGCAATGTGCATTTGAATTATTATTATTATTATTCGAATGGAATAACTCGGTTTCCAACTAATCTTTATTGAGGGTATAAGTGTTGATTTTGAGTCTTTAAAATTATTTACAGTATAGATTAAAAATAAAAGGCATAATAAATAAATAAATAAATAAGTTTAAATATAATATTAATATGTATAAATTACAAAATTATCTTAGTGGAGCATTAAAATTACTATTAGGATAAGGCGGGGCATTAGGATAAGGCGGGGCATTAGGATAAGGCGGGGCATTAGGATAAGGCGGGGCATTAGGATAAGACGGGGAATTAGGATTAGCTAACGTGTTGGGATAAGATAAGGTATTGGGAGTATTTCCGTATTGTTGAAGTTCTTGTTCACTAGGCATTTCTAAAACATCACTTGGAACTGAATTTTTTTTCTTTTGATATAATCTCACAGCTATGAATGTTGCTACTGCAACTACCATTGTTACAATTAAAACTGCAATTACTATTATTAATATTTGAATAGTATTTTGTGATGATGATGATGTTTCTGATTGTGATGGTGATGATGGTGACGACGACGGTGATGATGATGATGATGGTGGTGGTAGGTTTGCTTCAGATGCTGAAAAACTTGTTTTCCAACTATAATCTTTAATATCAAGTATATAGGTGTCTGCACTAGATGATGTTGGATCCGAAACAGCATTTGTGATGTTTCCTATATATATATAATTTTATTTTTGATTAATTAATTTTAATGTTTAAGATTCAAATTTTTTAAAAATATAAAAAATAAAAAATTACCAAAACTTATGATCATTTGATCTCCAATTAAATTAGCTGAATGGTATATAACAGGTGGAGCACGATTAACACTTGAAAAACTAGGTGCAGACCATTGAAAAGGATTTTTAGTTGTATCTAATACCAGAAGTTCAGGAAGTGTTGTAGTTGACACAGGATGATTACCACCGCCAAAAACAATTATCTTTCCATCCTTTGCTATATAATAAATATATATATAATTTTAGTATGATATTTTTTTAAAAGATTCAAAAAAAAATTATATAAATTAAATAATTAATTACAAAGTACGGCTGAATGACCAGTTCGAGATTGGATGTTTGATGGACCACTTGCTGTCTAATTTTTTGTCCAGGTGTAAGAAAAAATAAATTATAAATAAAAATTTTTATAAACAATATATTTTAATTGATTAAATATTTACCACACTTGACCAAATTGAACTATTCGTATCAAAAATTTTTATCTATAAATAAACATATAATTCAACTGTAAATACATGCATATATTATTTTACTTGCAATCAATATTTTCTATACTAATCTATAAAATAAATACATACTATATTCATGTTAACCAGAGCTTCATAATTTCCCTCTCTTCCACCAATAATTACAATTCTACCATCTGGTAATAAAGTTGATGTATGATCATAAGTTGCTAATGGTGCATTAGTTGCAGAGGCTAAACTCCAATTCAGGTCTATTGTATTCAAAATATACATATCATTAAAGCATTGAAAGGTGGAAGATCCAGTAGGTTTGCCTGTTAATCCACCAAAAATATACATTTTTCCTTTATCATCTACAACAGCACTACTTTCTCTACGATTAATGGGAGTAATTCCAGTTGTTTTTGGAGCATTCCAAACTTTTGTATTTACATCATATGCATAAAGCAAATTGGTGAAATTATAAGTATCAGTAATTTCATTTACCATAATTCCACCAAATAAAAATATTGTTGATTTATTTGGTCCACCAACTGCACCTAAAGACCAAGAATTTCCTATAGGTAATTTGTCATTTTCTACCCATGGTACATTTGTAACATCAAAATCTTTAGTTAAATCCACATAAAATAATGAATCTGTTGTAATAACTGCTTGTTCTAAGCTTACACCTCCAAGAATGTAAAGTTTACTATCTACTACCACGCTAGCAGCTGAATAACGTTTTGCCTTAGAATCAGACAATACATTATTGATAATAAATATTATAATAAATATTAACCGAAATTTGCTATTTTTGAAATTTAAAACCATCGATTTTTTTTTTAATTTTTTTAAGAAAAAAGGGTTTAAAATTTTTTTTTTAAAAAAAAGCCCTGTTTTAAATGTATTGTTAGTTTCTAGAATTCAAAATGCAGGACACAACTTTTAGCCAAGTTTGGGTAGACAATGAATTTAAAGTCAGTGTTCAATCAATCCCTTAAACTATTTGGTATCTTTATACTTTTTAAAGAAGATTTACAAAAACATCAAAATTTTATTTATATGTAGTGTTACTCTCGGAATATGTAATTCAGCCTATAGCAAATTAATATACCTTTTCTGGAAAAAACTGGTTGAAACTATTATATCATTTATGGCAGCCGGATTTAAACCGGTTTTTAATTTATTGTGATTACTATATTTGGTAACAATCAATTTCATTAATTACTATATATAAAATATTTTGATGCGGCACATTACTAAATTCAAATTCATTCTAATTATCTAGATTAAAAAAGTCTTTTAAGAAACCCGGATCTATAAATATAGATCCGGTTGGATTGAGTAAAAGTGAGTTTTTTCCAGAACAAATTTCAAGGCCTGCTCTTATTATTACTCCAATACCGATAATAAATATATGGTCACCACTACCAACCAGTACATATAAAGAATTAAAATCAAAAACATTGCCTTCTATACATGCGCATATATGATGAATGAATGTGTTTTGGCAACATTTTTTATTAGAATTGGAAACTGTATCTATTCATAATACAATTTTGTATTCGAATGATTCGCTTGAGTTGTTTGATTTGTTTGATTTGTTCGATTCAAATCATTTGAATCGTTCGATTTTATTCATTTACTTTGATTGTTTGAAATCCTCATTTATTCAGTTTGTTCAAGTTCGTTTAAATTGCTTGAACTAATAATAATAAGAAATTGAAATTGAAATGCTTGACAATTCACAAAACTAATAAGAAAACAAGATTCATGACTTGATGGATTTTTCCTTACTTTTTTTACTAGATTTTGAATCATTTTCAAAGTTATCATCACAACCATCATATCGTTGACTTCCGAGCAGTTATGTCCTTCTTGGGGATGGAAAATTTCAAAATTTCATGCAGTGCATTTTTTTTTTTTAAGGAAAATCACTCAACATTATATTCGGCATTACTGTTTTTAACATTTTTTAATGCATTATTTATTCATTATTAAAAATATATTGTGAAAATTTGTCATCATTATCTTCACTATAATAATAAAAACACGACCATTTGTCAATTTATTTCGTTTTTATCATGTATATAAAAAAATGTAGACCAATTCCTTTCTGTTGCAGCTGAAGAGGTAGGAATAGAAAGAACTCTTACCGCAACTTTTGTCAATTCAGGTGCCACAGCTCCAAAATTACCTTAATAAATCCACATTATTGGTAGATATCCATGCCAATGAGTTGCCAAATATACCTTTATATTGTAAAATTTAATTTCTGCATTTTCTGCATGATTTGAAAAAAAAATCACGCGCATTGCATTTTTTTTCATGCGCATGGAATATCTCCAAGTCCTTATCTTACATCAATATCATCATTAGAAGTAATGTTTAAAGTATTAATACGCTACGCAATTAAACACAACAAATTCTATATTATCATTAATTATTCTTCAATAACGGTTCTTCGATATAGTGATCACTTAAATAAGATCAGTTATTTGAATACTCTCAATTAATTACTAAACATTATTTCTAAAACAATATTTTTCGTATTACAAACAATATTCTTCATAAGAATTCGAAAAAAAAAAAAGAGGAATCCAAATCTTCCCGTAATTTTTCTATTTTTTATTATTCTGGATTTACTTTAACTTTATCGAATTTTTTTTTTAAGTTGAAAAATTTAAAGGGAAATCCGGATTTTTAAATAATATTTTCAGCCCGGTTAGAATATACTTGATAATAATAATAATAATAATAATAATAATCGATAAAAAAAAAAGAGTAACCATGAGTTTGAATTTCAAAGCTAACAAATTTCATTTAATGTTTATTGTAATATTTATTATTACTAATGTATTTTCCAACCCTAATGTACCACGTTATGCAGCTGTTAGTGTAGTGACAGATAATAAACTTTATATTCTTGGGGGACTTGATATTGATAGTGGGACGACAAATTCATTATTTTACTTGGATTTAACTAAAGATTTCAGTGTTGCCAATGCACCATGGATAGAAAATGAGAAAATGCCTATAAGAACTTCATGGTCTGTAGGTGCAGTTGGTGGATCAAATAAATTGACAATTTTTTTATTTGGTGGGATTATGAGAAATTCAGCTTCTGGAAGTCTGGATTTCACTAATTTGCTTTATGCATATGATGTAAATGCCAAAGTTTGGAATACTCCAAAAACAACCGGTATTGCTCCTGTCAATCGTAGAGAAGGCAGCATTGTTGTAGATGATAAAGGAAAAATGTATATTTTTGGAGGAGTAGCATCTAATTTTACTGGATCTACTACTCATACATATTTTAATGACATGTATATTTTGAATACAGTGGACCTGAATTGGAGTTTAGCCTCTGCAACTAATCCACCACTACCACTTATTGACCATACTTCAACTTTATTACCTGATGGTAGAATTGTAGTGATTGGTGGAAGAGAGCCAGGTGATAAGGAAGTTGACATCAATAAAGTATGCATTTATTTATATATATATATATATAGAAATTTTAGGTTTTTTTTAAAAATAAAATATATGCATACATTTATTTTATTTTATAGTTAAAAATTTTTGATACAAATGGTTCAACCTGGTCAATTATGGTAAATATTTAATCAATTAAAATGTAACGTTTACAAAAACTTTTTATTGAAAAAAACAGAATAGTTTAATTTATTTTTTCTTACACTTGATGAAAATTTTAGACAGCAAGTGGTCCATCACAAATCCAATCTCGAAATGGCCATTCAGCTGTGCTTTGTAATTTATTTTTAATTTTAAATTTTCTTTAATTTTTTAAAAAATATACTAATATTATATTGTATATAGCAAAGGATGGAAAGATAATTGTTTATGGTGGTGCTAGAGAGTTTGTAGATACCACCTCGTTTCCTGAACTTCTGGTACTGGATACAACCACCAATCCTTTTCAATGGTCTGCACCTAATTTTTCATCTGTTAATCGTGCTCCATCTCTAATACATCATTCAGCTAATTTAATTGGAGATCAAATGATCATAAGTTTTGGTAATATATTCTTTAAAAATTATTTATTCTTTCAACCATACCATAAAATTAATTAATCAAACAATATATACAGGAAATATTACAAATACTGTTTCAGATCCACAATCAACTAGTGCAAACATCTATATACTTGATATTAAAGATTATAGTTGGAAAACAAGTTTTTCAGCATCTGAAGCAAGCCTACCACCATCATCACCATCATCATCACCACCATCACCATCATCACCACCATCACCACCACCATCACCACCACCACCATCACCATCATCACCATCACAATCAGAAACATCATCATCATCACAAAATACTATTCAAATATTAATAATAGTAATTGCAGTTTTAATTGTAACAATGGTAGTTGCAGTAGCAACATTCATAGCTGTAAGATTATATCAAAAGAAAAAAAATTCAGTTCCAAGTGATGTTTTAGAAATGCCTAGTGAACAACAACTTCAACAATACGGAAATACTCCCAATACCTTATATTATTCTAATAATGTTCCTAATAGTAATTTTGGTGCTCCACTAAGATAATTTTGTTAAATAATAATTTTTGTATTTTGAATGGTGTATTCAAAAAACTTTTTTATTTGATTAGAAAAATCAATGTTATAATTATTGCAAGATTTATTTGTATTAATTAATATAGATGTGTGTGTTCAAGAGCTAATTTTAGTAGATTAGATTTATTATATTAGAGACCCTTTTATCCAGGAAGATAAAAGTCATTTTTGATTTAAATTGACCATAAGTCAGCAAGTAGGCTGTGTGTCATGTACATATAAATAAAGGAAAATTGACCATAAGTCAGCAAGTAGGCTGTGTGTCAAACAATAGAATCAACCATAAGTCAGCAAGTAGGCTGTGTGTTGAACTTTAAATAACTTATTAATTAAGAAACTCGGATTGCATGCTCACAATACATTATAATATAAACATATTTATGTCTCATAATACTATATTCATAGATATGGGAAGCAATGACCTGAACTTTTTTAATTCAACAAATTTGAAGATATATAAATTCTTTCAGTGGTAATGGTAATTATTGATATAACAATCATTACTATAGTTAAATAAATAAATTTACATGGCAATTGGTTTAATCCCATATTTATTTGATGAAAATCAAGTCATGTCAAGTTATTATTATTTTTATTATTTTTCATTAAAAATAGTATCACCCAATAGGAAAATTTCTTCATTAACATCACCATATTGTATCTTTGCTTTCTTATATCCATCTAAGAACAAAACATAAAAGCAATTCTCTCTTATAACTCTTACATTTATTGATTCCCTGAAATCAATTAGAGCATACTTTGAATTTGGTTTCAGCATAACATGGTATTTTCCTCCTATTTGAAAATGCTCAAAATGTTCCTTGGTACCCTGTCCTTCCACAAGTATTTCTATAAACCATGATAAATCCCCATTTATAAAAAAATCTACAAACCCATCAGAACCCAGTTTTGGTCCAACATCAGGACTTATAAAATAACTTTCAGGCAGTAATGATTGTATGGTAACATATATCTCCATTTGAAGTTGACGCTCTAAAATTTTATCCCTAACACCATAACTCATTGTATTTTGAAGTTGTGATGGTTTTAACCTTTGAATTGCCTCTTTGATAAATTCTTCAAATTTGTTGTATTGAAAAAGTTCAGGTCGTTCCTTCCCATATCTATGAATATAGTATTATGAGACATAAATATAAACATGTTTATATTATAATGTATAGTAAAGCCTACTTTGTGAGGAAATAAGATCTCTCATATAAAGGTGATGCAAATCTCAAAATAGAAAGTTCATCTTCATATATGTATCCAAATTCTATTGCTCTTTCAGCTGCAGCTTTTCTTCCTGGTGAGTAAAGGTTTATTGACACATTTGGCTTAAAATACACATCATCTAACAACCTTTTGGAAATGGATTAATAATCATAAGTAAAGAAAAAAATGCCAGAAAAAAAAAATAAGGCTTGGACTGAAACTATATATTTTAAAGTATTAACTTTTCCATAATAGGATCATTGTGAATTGTATCATAGTGAGGACATCCATGACAATAAATTGGCAGAGTATCAGCAAATAGTCTTGAATGTAAAAATTCCATGCAGGGTAGATCTGGTTCAATTTGATCATTCTTCACTATCCTCTTTCTCAAAGTATCCAAGATATGATGAACTAGTCCTACATGGTTGTGAGTAAGTCTCTTGATTAAACTTCTGACAGAATTTCCAAGTCTAAAATATACATTACTGAACTTATTCATCATCTCCTCAAATTCTTCATCAAATAGTTCCAAACCAACAATCTCCTTGTTATCCTCTTTTCTACTATGCATTGTAACAATATTTCCTGAATCAAACTTGATTGAGGTAGCTAACTTAGGAAGGCTTGTATCATTAGAACTACCATAAGCACAAAACAAAACTATTGATAAAGTCGGGTATTGAGATTGAAGTATCATTTTGATTGTCCCCTCCCAAAGTATATGTGTTTTGTGTTTTTCTTTATTGTAAGTTTGTTGTCCTTCATCAAATATTACTACTGTGTTGGTTTCTGAGTTTAAGATTTCATCCCATGATTTACCAGATTTTTCCTATTATAATAATAATATAATTTGATTATTATCATCTCATACACACAAAATATGATTTTTTTTACCTTAATATATTTTTCAAATTCATAATCCTCATTGGCAGTAGCAAAAGTAATAAATATGACTTGTGTTTTTGGATACTTCTTTCTGATATAAATTTCAGTTGCTTGTGCTAAACTAGTCTTTCCAGAATATGGGGGACCTCTAACTTGAACAACACGATTTTGTCGAATCATCTCAACAAGTCCAGTAACAGTTTTATTTCTTAATGTAATGAATGATGTATCACCAGAACATATTCCCTCATTTGATACAGTAACTTGAGTTTGCAAAGAAAAAACTATAAAAATAATATTAGAGATGAATTATAATGACATATCAATTGATTGTTCAAATTAGTAAATAAAAAATGACAATGAACTAAAGAAATAAAAAATTAGGATAATTTATGTAGATATGAAATATCATTAATGTTTCATGATAATAATTGATTTTAAATGATAACATCCTCCTTTTGCTAAAATGCCACAAATTATAGAAGAAAACATGATTTTAAAAAGATTAAAATTTAAATTATTGAAAGAAAAAAGTACAAGTTAATCAATATCGTAAAAAATGTTTGCTCACAACAAGATGAATAAATGATAATGATGAATGAGATGAATAGATGTTAGTCAATGTTCAAATGGTATACAAGTGAATAAATAAAACGAAATGGAACAAATTGAAAATAATTTTTTGTATATTTTTTTTATGCAATTTGTTCATTTACCTCCTTCTTCTTTGCCAAAGTTGATTAATGCTTTTTGTAAAAAGTTCACCTGGTCCAAAAACTTATCCCTCCTCACCTCCAACTTCTCTTCTTTTTTCTCCAACTCGTCTCTCTCCTCTTCCAATTCTTCTTTATCCCTTTCTAAAATTTTCTTTTCCTCCTCATCTCTTTCTCTTCTTATTTTATTATTCAAATTCCTCAACAGCCTCTTCACTTCGTCAAGCCTCTTCACTTCGTCAAACCTCTTCAACTCCCCCACTACAGCATCTAATCCATTATTTGCACGGTTTAATTCGTTTCTAATTTCTTCGATAGTTGCCATTTTTTAAAATTAAAGAATTTAAAATTAATATTTTAATTGACGATCCGCGAATAAATCGAAGGAGTCTTACTGGTCGTGTGACATGTCACATCAATTGATTTTCTATATTAATATTTCAATGTACAAGAAACAAAATCAATTTATTTTAAAATGTTGAATATATTGGAAGAGCCAGATGTTAATACAATTCTTGTAAAAGTGTATGTAGGTCAAGTTTGTCAATTAATCTCTTAAAAAAGACTATCAATAACTGATTTTTGAATCAAAATTATTTAATCAATAAATATTCTTTATTGTAAAAATATATATATATATATAAAATACATTCAGATCTTATAAAAACTCTCTAGACTAGAAGTTTAAGATAATTACAAAGACATAAATGTACAATTATTATTATCAAAAATGAATAATCAGTTATTAATAAACCAATGACAAATATATAAATAAATTATTATTTCTATGTTTTTTTTAAAAAAAGATTTATATTTTTAATTTTTTTTTATCTCTTTTGATAATCTATCAAAATTGCCTATTTTTTTTTTTGAGAAAGATAAAAAAATTAGAATTAAAATATAAAAGTTTTATAAAAGTTTTATAAAAGTATAAAAAATCAAACAAATAATTACCTTCTTTCGTGTAATCTGTATGATTACCATCATCGTTATCTAACAATGAATCTTTTTTTTAAGGAAAAATATAATTCGATAAATTTTAAAATAGTGGAAAAGCTTTTAATTAAATAGATAAGAAAATAGATAGAAGGAAATAAATACCATCCAAGTTTACGTTACATTCATTCAAAAGTTTATCAACTTCTTGTAAAAGTCCATCATCTTCATAATAATCATCATCATCTGATTCAAAGGATATAGGAGATTCTATAGCCTTGGAAGATTTGTTTGACTCTAATGAAAGAAAAGATTCTGATGGACTACCATGTGTTGTCACAAGTAAAGGTTCACTTTCAGGTGAAACAGTAGAATCATTATTATTATCTAGTTTAGGTGATAATGATAAAGTTGTTGATGGTGGAGTTGTGGTTATAGTAGTTTTTGCAATAGTTTTAAACGGTTTTGATTTTGACGAAGAAGATGAAGATGATGACGGTGATGGTATTGATGATGACGTATTGACTTTTTTGGGATCAATTGATGAACTATTGTTGTGTGAATTTGATAATCGGTAATTCAATCTTTTACCAAAATTTCCTGCCATTTTCATACCATCTGTCATCAAAGAATTAAATATTTCACGACCAAAACTTCTTTGTCTTTCTTCAGTTGGTACAATAAATTTGAATGATTCAGCAAAGTCTTTATCAAAAAATTCTTCGAGGTAGGCATCAGCCAAAATAACCATTCTAAATGATGGAAGGGACATTCTATAATCCTCTGTATCATTCATAATAATCTTTTCTTTGATTTCTTTTAGCCGTTGTTCTTCTTTCTCGTTTTTATCTCCCTCGTTTTTGTTTTCCTCGTTTTCATCCCTCTCATTTTTATCCTCCACATTTTCGTCTTGGGATTGTAACTTTGAATTTATACTATCATGGTTATTAACTTTTAATTGATTTTTCTCTGGTTGTAATGGATCAGAAAATTCAAAAGAATTTTTTATGAAATTCGAAACAGAGTTAAGATGTCTATCATCTTGTCGATTTCTAAATATAAATAAGAAACTTTCTGACATTTGTAATATTTCTTCTTTCAAAAGATACCCATCATTATCATTATCATGCAATTTAAAAAAAAAATGTATACGTGACATCAAGTCACCAAACATTATTTCACCAAGACCTAAAATAACATCTTGCAATGTAAGTCCGCCTGATAATGATCCATCAAAATGAACAAACAACTTGTTAATAAGCTCGTATCCTACGAGTCTACGTCCTTGCTTGTCCCTTGCTGAACCATTCTCTTTACTGATATCATCATCGTCCAGCTTAGCCCAACTAACAACGCTACCTAAAAATCGATAAAACGTATTTAAATCCATACGTGAATCATTTCGAACACTGCGTTGTTTTCCATAAAACTGTGCATTATAATATTTGTCGTAGATTGCTGATATATCGTCCTTCGAAAATTTAGATGTATCTTTTAAATTTCGAATTTGACTACGTTTCGTAAAACTTTCAATATTGTGAACCACTTTAAGTTGATAAGATTTTCGAAGTTCAAGTATATTTGTTGTGGTTACTATTGAAAATTCCCTGAATGCCAAACTCATCAAATAACTAAACTTTGTTATTGCTCTAATTTTTGGATTTGGATTATTAGGATATGATGATTCATCCAACGATAAAAAATATTTTTTTAAAACATCAATAAATTGACCGTCGTCTGTTATTTTTAATAATTCGTTACCATTAATCTTTAAGATTGCTATGTAAAAATATATATATATATATATATAAAATTAATATATAACTGTGTGGTTTTATTTATAATCAAATGTGAAGTTATTTTTGTTTATTTACCTAATCTAAATATAAATATTACAAGTAGATAATATGTTAGATATGGTTATACTATATTTCATATATAATAAAATTAATTATTAATCTTACCCAACTTGAAACAATATTTTTGGTCCTTCCATAAAAAAATGATCAAGCACACGAAAAGCAAATAAAAGCGGCATGGAATTAATAAAAAGACTAAGAAACCATGGTAGACATGCTACTGATAATTGAACATCGACATCTTGGAAATGTTCAAAAAGTATTGGCATTGTTTCACGAACATAATGTTCGAATATTATTTGATCCAAAATCGCTCCATACATTGAAGTACTGTTAAATTAATATGAAGTTCAAATTTAGATTTAATTAACGGTTTCTCTTTCTCTCTTTAAAAAGCATCAACCATGCAAAATTTTTTTTACCAACCTGTAATATCCTGGCAACATTCTATCACATAAAACGCTTAAAATCCAAAATGCTTGTTCTTCACTTGTATAACTATAAATAGATTTTAACAGAATTGTTGAACTTATTATTATTTTTTTTTTTTGGAAAAAAAAAAAACGAAAAGGTGAATCCTTACATTAATATAGCAGATGCAACTATATTCATCGCTTGACAATAACCTAATTCAGGATCTTTCCAAGAATAAGTAGATAGCACACGTCTTAAAGTATCAATACCATCAGAACTTTGATATGCACTATATTCTGGAAGAGATCTGTTCAAATCTTTCTCAATTTCTTCAGTTGAAAGTGAAACTTTTCCCGCATAATCTTGACGTATTTTTTCATACAATCCACCATTAACAAATCGTAAATACATTGCACCGCAACACAATTCCCATAATTCACCTCGCAACGTGTTAGGTAGTCCAACACGTACAAGTTTGGTAAAGCTCGGAATTCTAACCAATGTTAAATTTCTACCATTAGCTATTCAATTAAAAATAGGTAAATAAATAAACCAATCAAAATAAATATAAAAATATATACATATAAATATCTTATTTATAAAACCTACTTTGCAGATAGTCTTTCCAATAATTCGTCTTGCTTGAATCTTTCATTCTAATTGTATGAAATAATTTTTAATTTGATAAAATTTAAAAATATCAAAAAACAGATATAACTTAGATACAAGCTTACTTTTTAGGATCACCAGGAAATCCAAATTTTAATCCCAAACCCCCAAATTTGAATGCTTTTTTTGTATTGCTCAATAATACTTCAGACGAACAAGTATTTAAAAAAGGCCTTAATTTTTTCATGTAACGGATTTGACCTTTTAAATGTTCTTTAAGGGTGTTACAAAAATTTTCACATTTTGATTTAGATCCTTCTACTTGAAATATCAATGACATTTGATGCCAATTTATTATAGAAAGAGCAAGATAATAATTTACATTAAAACTGTTAAGACGCTCGACCCTTCGAACGGTATATAATGGCAAGACAATACTACAATTTTTTTGATCATTTGACAGAAAAGTGAGATAAGCCTCGGATAATTGAAGTTTTCCAGCAGTATATTCGCTTGTATCAGGAATTGAAAATAAAACATCACATTCGTCCAATAAACGTTCAGTTGTTGGTAGGTTAAATGTTATTTGAAACTCAGTGTCACGTTTTTGTTCCTCAAGACCTTTTTTCAAAGGCGGTGTCATTGGAGAAGTTGGTGAATCGGCGAAATTGTTCTTATTTAATGAAAGTTTTTGATCAGGAGTATTTGAAATCTGGTCTAAATCTGCATCATATATTGAAGTTCCTGGTGCTGGTTCAAAAGTAGAATTCTTTAATAAACGTTGCATCGATAAATTTGTTAATTGCATTAATAGGCCATATGTCTAAAGGCAAAAAAGGTTAACAATGATTTTTTAAATAAGGTCCAATCGAAATTAATAATATATCACTATTATATAAGCTCTTACTTCATTTCTATGAAAAAGATTTGAAAAAAAATGCTAATAATAACATTAATGGTATTAGTAATAGGATCAATAATAAATTTTTAAATTAGATCGAATTGATTAAACAAAATGGGGTTTTTAAAAAAAAACTTACCTCTTGATCATCTTTTGTAATTACTTTTATTGAATCTGAAACCATTCCACGTTTTGATTTTTCTTTTGTTAAATTTCGAACATCCTTTAATTCAATAATTACCTTTGTTTCTATACCAAGTAGGAAAGAATAAAAACATAAATAATTTTCGCTAATATACATCCATCCTTGACTAACTCCGTGATATGCACAAGAATAAACTTTTTTAAAAAAGAAGATTACGTATATTTGATTATCAGTAAAAAAAAAAAGAAAGAGAAAAGGAAGGAAGAAAGTTTTTATGTATATAACAACAATGATGACGATGAATAAATCGATCAATTAATGATTAATGCTCACAATTAACTAATCTCTCATTTGGTGATATGTCAAATGTTTGGTGAAAGGCTCTAGAAGCAGATCTGACGCTTTCATCTTCAGAAACTTCATCAGTTCCTTTATCTTCAAAAAAAATAAAATAAAATAAAAACTAAAGGTTAACAATGATACAAAAAGTATGTATCACCATTATCATTTTTTGAAAAAAAAAAAATACAAAAAAACAATTTATGACTTGCAATGCAAGAAAAGAATTTATATAAGAGAATTCACATTGTCTAGTGACCAAAGAATTAATTTTTGTAACAACGTAATTTTCTTTTTCACCAGGATTGTCAAGTTTTAGTAATTCAGAGCTTAAGCTATCTTTTTTTTTAAAAAAATTCAAAATTTGATAATAAGTTGATGATTAACAGAAAACATGATAATTTATAATTATATAATAGATAATAACCTTCTAACCATTTCCAAGCATCTTCGATGCCTTTTGTAGTTTCAGATACAGCAATTTGCAATGTAATGCCAAGTGGATCACTACGAAAAATAATTCGAAAAGGAGGTTGTTTTGTGTCAAGGCTAATTTCCCCATCCCCAAACATTAAGAAAAAAATCATTATAGAATATTGTAAGAATGCAAAGATAAATTTTTTTAAAAAAGATAATGAATGGATTGTATTTATTGGATTATAAACTTACACATTTTGAATAGTGCCAATTACACCTCGAAAAAATATATTACTTGAAGCTTTTGTCTTTTGAAGTATGAAATGTTCAGCAACTTTAACATCTTCCCAAAAGATATTAGCTGCATCACAAGGAATTGGCAGTGTAAATACTCCTCGTGGAGGATCAAAATTAGTAAATCCCATCTAAATTAAAAAAAAAAATAAAGCTTGTAAAAATTAACATGTGAAACCCATTTAATTTTAAAACGTGCTTTTGCAGATCCACTAAAATGAGCAGATTATTATGGATAACAATAACAACAATAACGATTCAAAAATTTTAAGAAAAATAAAAGTTTCATCAAAAAAAATAGAAAATAAGAATGAATTAGAAAAACATTATTGTGAGCAATTTAAAAAAATAGCAGAATATTTAATAAACGATGTAATACTTTATCTACCGAAAAATAAAAAATATCAAATAATTGAATTAGAATTTTATTTCAACACTTTAGAAAATAACAGTAATAATAATGTACTGTTGCATTGTGATCCGTATTCACATCAACATGAACATCAAAAAACGAGCGGAGAATGGTATTTTCATCGTGTTGGTAAATTTGGATATCGAGGTGGAACCAGAAAAGGTATCGATATAACATTTGGCAATGAGAATGCTTATGGTGGAATATTAATACGTTCTATAAAAAGAATTATTGATAATGAAGACGATGATGAGAACGAGTTGATTGAAGGACCAAGTTTAATTGTTGATGAGATTTTGAGATTATGTGGGGTGGATAACCTTAGTATAAAAGAAATGGTCGAAGTAAAATGGATGGGAAAAAGTGGAATTTGTAAGGATTTTAAGAATTTTAATGGAATGATTTGGTTGGAAGAAATAAAATATACCAAAAATGATGATGATAGCGATGGCGATGGTAACAATGACGATGATGGTGATGATGATGGTGGTAGAAGTGAAGAAAAAATTAGAAATTTTAATAAAAGAGCAAAATATTCTACAGATGTAAGTTCGCCATATTTTATAAAATCATCATCACAATCATCAATGAAACATAAAAGAAAGTCCAACAACTTAAAACATAAAGAAATTGTATATAATTCACCAAGAGTCGGCCTTACTTTATCCAATACAAATCCTTCGCCAAATCTACGTTTAAACTTTCTTTTGAAACCTTATAGATTTTTCATCAAACCACATCTAATTAAAAAAGGTAAGGCACAGTTAATAATAGGATTATACGATAGATACCAAGATATTAATAAAGTTACAGAAATATCGGGCACGAGTAGATCAATTGTCGAAAATTATATAAAAGAGTTTAAATTAGATTCTGATAATATTGATGAATTTTTGGGTAAAAAAGGAAAAGGATCAAACGGCATGGAGTATTGCAAAATGGCAGGAGTTGTGCGTAATTGGTTAAATAATCGAGACAATAAAGATGTGAGGATATTTTAAATTGATTATAAATAAAGAATTATTATTATCATAATAATAATAATAATAATAAATACAAGATAAATTAAAATCATCAATAAATCTCATCAAATGGCCTTGTATCATTAAAGCAACTTTCAAATACTTCAGCAACAGCCTTTTCTGCCACTCCAGGAGCAGAGCAGGAAGCATTTTGTTTTAAAGATAGTATTGCTCGTCGTTTTGTACAAGCCTTTTATAGTTAATACAAATAATAATCAAAACATTAAATTTTTGAATAGAAAAATAAAGGCGGATTTGAGAGAAAAAAACCTGATGTTGTTTTGCAAATCCAAAAAATCCACGTCTTATTTCACGCGTCCATCTACAGTCACCACTTAAACTTGCAGCTCTTATCTAATAGAATGATTAATCATTGAAAATACTGTTATATGATTATTATTAGAACTACTTGTCGATTAAAAAATACCTCACTACACGCGTGATGATAACAATTATTCCAGTCTACTTTAAATCTGCAATGATCATATAAATGTATCATTTCATGTGCCATGGTATCTTCTTGATGCCTCCTATTAAGAAATCTATTTTGACATAATAAAATTCCTAATTCAGGTGAAAAGCCACCACTACGCGTTTCATCACACGGCAAGCATTTAAAATGATTTTTATCAAGTTTATAGCCAATTTCTTCTAATGATTTCAACATAAATATTATAATTGGACCTTCAAATCAATTTTATTGTTTGTAAAATAATGAAACAACTGAATGAATTTCAAGAAATATTAAATCATTATAATGAATTATTGTATTAATTAATTTAAATTGATTTACTATTTCTCATTAATGAATCTCTAATTTTTTCACATCTGTTACATTCATATTCTTTAAAGTCTCTTTCTAATTCTATTTTATATTGCTCTTTTTGTTGTTCTGTTAAACCTATACCGGTAATATACATTATACTCTTTCGCCATTTGTTGAACTTTCTTTTGACTTTTGCTTCCTCTTCCATTGGATCTATATCTACTTCATCTTTATTTGTGGTGGTGTTTGTGGAAGGAGAGGAAGAAGAGGAAAACATTATGAAATAAAAAAAACTTTTTTGATTTTGATGTAAAATTTGGTTGTGTAACTTATACGAATCAAATCAATGCTCGACCGTTTTTTTCCCAACATAAAAAATTCTTTATTGTTCTTAATTATCAAATAGTTTTAGGCCTTTATTTTTCTTGGCTGAAAGCATCCCATTAAAAGTGTAATAGTAGAGAGAAAAAAACATGATTTAATGTAACATTTTAAAAGATATAATTATAGAATGCAAAATTTTTTTTCAACTTTGGTTTCGAATTCTGATTCTCGAATTAGAGTATAAATAATTATAAGCGGTAAAGAATTGTAATATATGGTGCAGAGTTTCCTTCTAATTAATTATTTAATTTTTGTCCAGAGTAAAAGAAATCCATTTCTCACTATTACTATTTGATATTATTTGTCAAACATTACAATTTACCATAAATAGAATATTATTAATATGTAAATATGTAATCAATTCAAATTTTAAAATTCTTATCATAATCAAGAGAAAAATGGAACAAATTCTAAATAATTTAATTAATGCATGCTGTTTGATTTTAGTTTCATTTGTTGTTGGTTATCGTGCTGAAGAAATTCAAGATGGAGAGGGTAGGAAATTATTGAATTACTTTTGCTTCTTCCTAAATTTAAAATTTAAAATTGTTATTTTATTTTGTTTTCTTAACCAAAAAGTTAGAGTTCCTATAATGAATGAAGAAGGATATATTGATGGTGGTTGGTTTACGTTTGATTAAAAAGAAGGTAGAAATATTTATTATTTATTATATACAAATAAATATGAATATGAATGTTTTAATTAATTTAATTGTTATTTATTATAGGTGATACTATTATCAAGTATTTAAGAAGTATTCAAAAATTATATAACAAATAATATTAATTAATAATTATAATTATTGTATTTTATATTTATATTTATATTTATCATGTTTATACATGCTAAATGATCTTTACTTTAAGTTGTAATTGATCTCTATAATATATGAAACTTCTTGATTTAGTAATTAGAAAGTTTGATTTTATCTGTAAAATTTTACATGTATAAAAAATCAACCACTTCTTCTAATTTTAGCAGTTGAAAACTTCAAGATTTTTTCAATAAATTAATTGATTACATTTGCTGGCACTGTCTTTATTATTATGGTATAAACTAAGAAATTCAAAATATGTGTATTGTGAGAAACAAAATTTCATGATATTTTTATTATTATTTATAAAGTAGAAGGGCTAATGCAAAATGCAAATAACTTTATATTTTATGATCGATCAATAACATTCATAAGAAACGGAGGTTCTCAAGACTCGAATTATTTATAGTCACATTTCTTTAGGTATTTATTTCAAAGTAATGGTAATATACTTTTATTTCTAAAGATTCCGATTTTGATATTGCAGTTGAAGATGGGAACCGCAATTAGCCGCAATTAGTTGCAACTAGTCGTAATTAATTGAGGATCCATCTTTACTCCTTATGTTTTCAAAATAAATGATGCCAAGATACTTGAAGCTTATCTAAGGAAAGAAAGGGCAACCTATAAAATTACAAGAAAAAAAAAGATCATTAACACAAAATCATCACCAGGAAATTTTTTCTGACGCGAATTTACATAATTATTATACCACTTATGTAAGTTTTATGGCGAGGCCTCATAATATTATGGAATTATTAAATATTACAGCATTACATATTTTTAAATTTATGGGTTTTCTGATATATGAAGAACCTAGAAAAAACTAAAAGCAGAACTTGGGTTAATTTAACTAAGGTTTCTGGTCCAACTGTTTCCGAAAAAAAAAGTGGCATCGGCAGTAGTTTGTACTTCTCAATATTTTTTATAGATTTTACACGTTCTCAATGTGAAAATGCTAACAAGCGTAGCGAGTGTGCTTCACTCTGTTTTCTGCGGTTATGGAAAAGAAGAGTATTCAGATATGCGAGTGCTTTGTGAGGAAAAAATAAAATAAAACAAGATTCATATCTGCTGTGGCATGCACATTTTGCTATAAAGTACTTTGATTAGAGTCTGCTGATTCTGGAGGAATCAATTATGTATCTTCCTTATGATAAAGGATCTTACTCTTTCAATATTATTATAAAGATCCAGAAAGAACAATAATGGAAAGGGAAATAAAGAATCTAAAAAAACGTAAGAATTTTTAATAAAACGGTTGTTTTCTTTACAGTATCGGTATTTTTACTAAATCATTATCATTACCATCATCATCAACCTTAATCGAAAAAAAAAGGTGGGTGATCAAGACACTTTGGTGTCCTGTTGTGTTGATAGATTTTATTTTTCTAGTTGACGTTAATGCTGACGATATCAACGTAACTCTCTGTCATTTTAGAGAGGAAAGATTAATATTCCTAATAACATAAAGGCAAATGATTTACGCTATGAAAAGTAAATATTCCATACAATGAAAATGCAACAGAAGTAGACGTCATACTCGAAAACATGAAAAAACGGGTATTCAGAAATTGTCTCCTCTAAAAAGAATTGGCACAATCTTTTCTAGTGAGACACAATCCATATTATTCTCGAACTACCCACTGCCATTGGTAAGTGAACTGTATAAAAATTACCAACATGAGTAAACTCAATGTCATTGCATTTCTGATTTGTGCTTCAACTTCTTAAAAGGTGGAAATTTTATTAGAACATGTAAAAAAAAATTTTTTTTGGGTTGTAAATTTTGTTTTTATTAAATAAATTTGTTTGATTTTTTCATACATTGTTCATGTTTTGTCTTAATCGTATATCTTAAATATTGGTTGTATGGTGCACACTGCCAAATTTCACCAAAAACTCAAAAACCAAAATTTGAAAATCATTCAAAAAATAATGATTTTTTTTTGACAAAAAATTTATAAAGTCATGTGATTTCTAAAATTTCTTAATTTGTTTTATTATCAACTTTAATTATCAATAACATTGCTTGGAATTTTTCTATGAGATTTGTATCTCTTTACTGCATATAAAGCTTCTATACCTGTCAATCCATTTCTATAAGCATCCATAAATCTCCAAGACCTGCAAGCAAACTTTCGAATTTTTTCAAGAGAAACAGAATTTAATGCTAATGGAACAGTTTTTTCTAATGACTTAAAGGTATAATCACAGTTTTCATGGGTATATTGTTTTGCTGCACCCCAAAATAATTCAATAAAATTAAGTTCACAGTGGAACTTGGGGTAAAAAATGACTTTATGACCATAAGATTCAACAGTTTCTTCAATTAAAGATTTTTGGTTAACAAAGTCAGGTTGAAGTTCAACGATTCAGACTGCACAACATGAACCTTGGATTGGTGAATGTTTTTTGCAGGCAGTACAAATTCGAACTAATTTTGTTGATGGCC